ATGGAAGCTATTCTCTGGCTTTTGCGCCTTGACCTGCTTGTGGGCTTGGTGGCACCTTCTCTGAACTGACTGGGCTGCCTTGGAGGGCACTGGGCAGCAGCTTTCCAGTGCCAGCCAGCCTCCACCTCCACCCCACCTTCCTCGTGAGGCTCCAGCTTGCCAGCAGCCTTCAAGGTGGGGGAAGGGCCACTTGGACTTTGCGGCAATAACTGACCCATCACCATATGAAGGAGCAGGGGCATGGCACAGAGTTCACCTTATGGGGGCTGAAGAGAATAGTTTGATTTTTCATTCTTCAGCTGTTTGGCCCAGTTCAAGTTAGTTTGAATAAAAGTAATACTTTTCTATTTAGCATGGAGGTGGAAGGGGCTTGCCTTCCATCAGAGCAACATGGCGGACAGGACATGGTTAAAGTTCCTTTCGGATTTCATGTCAATGCTTTCTTCTCAACTGTCCATGGCCACTCAGACATCTGGAGTCCATATGAACCCTTGACTGAAGACCTCTGGCAACTCCATTTCCAGATGGATCAATTTTTGCATAAAGACAGCTGAAGTGGTGCCATGCATCCTAAATTAAGTTGGGGGAAGTGGAGTATTGATTTTATTACTTGGATATGCACTATAGGAAAAGGTTTCCCTAAAAATGTGTCCTTCCCTCCCTGTGCACAGGTCAGGTCTATCCTTTGTACATTGACTGTCACCATGTAGGCTGGTCTGTTTGGACTTCTCTGGTAGTTTTAAGATGGAAATAAATCATTATCACCATGTAGGCTGTTCTGTTTGGACTTCTCTGGTAGTTTTAAGATGGAAATAAATCATTAATAACAAACAAACAAAAATTAGCCACATTGCAATTCGGAGGCGGTTTTTAACTTTTCCAGGATAACAACCCCCTTTAGTTTCTTAAAAATATAAAGACTTTTGATAGAAAAATAATCTTGCAATGAAAAAGATGATAGTTGAATTGTCAGGGCTTTCATGCTCTACCTCTCCCAACACGTTTAGGTTAAGAACACAGGTAATATACATCCAAGTATTTAAAATAATAAGAGTCTTGTGGAACAATGTGTTAGGGACAAAACTGTTGTCCCTAAAATCAAGCTGATTTCGCTGCATCTCACCTGTATCCAAGGGTGGATGTGTCCACAGAGCTTTCTGTGCTGTCACTGCTATGGGAGCAGGCTGCCACGCATGACTTAGAAGCAGTGACTCATTCTCTCAGGGTGTTTGGTTAAAGAGTTTACCATAGCTGACCTTCCAGCAGATTTTCAGAGGCTGTAAATTTCAAAATGAGAAGATGGCTCCATGTACACTGACATATTCACATCACTTAGTAATGTTAGGTGCTGTCCAGTCAAGTACAACTCAAAAACCCTATGAACAACAGATCTGAACCCTGTCTTGTCCTGTGCCATCCTCACAATCTCTGACACACTGGATACCATGACTGCAATTACTCTGTCAATCCACCTAGTTGATGGTCTTCTTCATCTTTCCACCTTTCCAAGAAAGGAACATCCTCTCCATCTAATAGGAATGTAGAACATCCTAGGCCTGTTTATGGCTGTAGTTCCTTCTGCTTTCACCTTTGCTGTCTCTCTTTTATTTTTTTTAGATTTTATCTTGTTTATAAAGAACTTGGATTTCCATCCATTCATTGTTGTACATTTTTCTCTGAGCCCCTCCAGTTAGTTTTTTCTTTTTTTTTCAAAACATACTTTCATTGTTATATAGAGCCCCCCAAGGCCACTTTACCATGCAGCTCTTATTACTGGACTCTCGTCATACCAATAATATTTAATCATATATTCCTCTTATACAGATCTCGCTCTCATTTGTTTCAATGCCGTAAACATTATTTATCCCCTCCTTTCTTAGTTCCCCCCCACCCTGCCCCCCGTCAGTCCTGTTTTATAACAGTGATACTACATAGTATTTGTCTGTGACTTGAGATATTTCACTCAATATAATGTCCTCCATGGTCATCCATTTTGTATAGTATTTCATGAGTTGTTTTACAGTGCTGCATAATATTCCACTGTGTGAATATACCAGAGTTTCTCTATCCTTTTGTTTGTTGATGGACACGTGGGTTGTTTCCAACTCTGCTATTGTGAACAAAGCATCAATAAACATGGGTGTGCATATATCTGCTCGGGTGGCAGTTATGGTCTCTTTGGGGTATATTCCCAGTAGTGGAATTGCTGGGTCAAATGCTATTTCTATTTCCAAATTTTTTAGAAAGCACCATACTGCCTTCCATAGTGGATGCACCATTTCACACTCCCACTAACAGTGAATGAGGGTTCCAGTTTCTCCACAACTGCCAGCATTTGTTGTTTGTGCTGTCTCTAACTCTTGCACACTTCTCCATGTCTTCCTTTTGCTTAGTGAAAAGTCACTTTAAAACTAGGTTTTAAATAATATATTTTAATTTTAAATGTTACTGTCCCCAGTACCTATGAATGTGGCTTTATTTGCAAACAGCACTTCTGCAGGTTACACAAGCGGTTCCCACTCAAAATGTACTGGACAAATCAAGCCCCTTTTGACCATTTAAAAAAATTGTGTTCCTTGTGCATTTACTAAATTGTATCTTTAAGTTTCTAACCTCCAAGGAACAGCCTGGTTTCACCATCTCCAGGAAAAACCTGTTTGTTCTCTTAGCAGTCCACAGTATATTCAATACCCTTCTCCCAACACCACAGCTCAAAGGCATCAATTCTCCTTCTATCATCCCTAGTCATTGTCCAGCTTTCTGAGGCATAGCAAGTGACTGCAAAGACTGTATCAGGCGAACCTTAGTCTCTAGACTAAGCAATCTTGTTGCTCTTCAGTAATTTGGAGAAATCTCTAACAGCAGACTTTCCCAATGTTATTCGCCTTTTGAAACCAGGCTACTCCTTGGGGGGCAAGGATTCTGAAGCTTCATCTGACCTATTTTGGACATGTTGTGAGGAAGGACCAGTCAGTCCTTGGAGAGGGACATCATGCTTGGGAGAGTGGAGGTATATAGCGCAGGAGGGGAAGACCTTTGATGAGATGGCTTGACTCAGTGACTGAGGTAATAAGGGTAGGTGTGTGGAGACAATTAAGATTGGCACAGGATAAAGCAGGGATTAGGGCTGTTATACATAGGGTCGCTATAAGTAGCAGGGGACTTTGACGGCACATTAACAATAACCACAACCACCTCTCCAAGGACAATTATGGTTGGGTTTATAAAGACACTGACAGTAAAAGTCAATAATAAAGAAAATGACTACTCCCCCAGCCACCTAAGAAGTGATTTGACTTACATCAGAACTAAGTGATACTAAAGCCACTGGCTGAAATAGAACCCTGTGATAAATTAAGGGCTACAACAGAATGGATCCTAATCCACCAGGACTCAAACTTTGAGTCATTGCCATTGAGTTGAATCTGACCCATAGCTGACCCTCTTCGTGGGTTTTCAGGCTGTAAACCACAGAGGAGGAGACTGCCCATCTTTCTTCCGCAGAGCAGCTCATGGATTTGAAGCCCCTGCCTTTGGGTTGGCAGTGCAGCTCCTCACTCTCTAGGCCACCAGAGTTCCCTAGCCCAGCATGACTACTGTTCATATAAAAAGGGAAGAGACCCAGAGACAAGGACACACGCAGGAAAGGTCAAGAGATGACAGAGGCCGAGATTGGAGGAGTGTGTGCATAGGCCATGACCACCAGGGAATGCAGAAAGCCATCACAAGCCTAGAGAAGGCATGTGGACAGGATCTCCCCACAGACCTCAGAAGCAATCGGGTCAAACAGCTTGATGACCCTGGGCTCCTGAACTCGTAAGAAAATAAGCTTCTGTAGTTTGAAGCATTTTGTTAGTACCGTTCTAGGAATCTAGCACAGAGCCATTCCCACAGATGCTTTTAAAAGACCTAAGTGTGTGTTTTATAGGCTTTAATTAGGGTGCTCTTGTGATGCAGCCTGTAGAGAGCTGTGCTGCTAACCCCAAGTTACAGCACTGGTAGGTCAAACCCACCAGCAGCTCCATGGGAGAAAGATGGGCAATCTCTTCCAGTGTAGCTGACAGTGTGAGAAACCCAGTGAAGGGTCAGGGAGAAGTTGATTTGGATTCAATGCCAATAGGTTGAGTTGAGCCAAGTTTCATTTTTCAGATGAAACCACCAGAGTTTCTGAAGAGCATAATAACTAAAATATATAAAGAACTCCCACAGTTACTAAGCATTAAGTCAGCCTTTTAATATCCTGTGCTTAACTGATTGTCCACCCAGTGATTCCTCTATATCATATGTTGTTGTGTGTTGCTGAACCAGAACACTCAGAGCTGACCTTCCAGCAGATTTTAGAGGCTGCAAATCACACCGGAGGAAAGACATACACTTCCCCCTCTTCCCTAGAGCATGTGGTAGATTACAACCACCAGAGAGGTACTACTTTTGAGATGGCAATGTAACTCCTTACCAACCAGAGCTCCTCCAACAGGTTTCCCATGGAAAAAAAATTCCAAACTAGGCAGTATGGACTTTGAAAAGTTTGAGGTAAGCAGCAGTTCTCGCTCCAGATGCATATTAACAATCACTGGAGAGCTTTAAGGATGCTGGGGGTGAGGCAGAGCATGGACAGTGCACTGGCACGAATGGGCAAGACACACTCGAGTTATGGCTGCAATCTGTACATATACAATTAAACTGAAAGGCAGAAAAAAACCAACCACCCTCCACAACTATGGCTGCTGGGAATGGTTTCAAGTGTCAATGCAACAAAGTAAATGTCTACGCCATAAGACATTCACATTCAAAGTCAAACAAAATGAAATATGCAAAGGTGGAGGAATGAACTAGAAGTCTCACCGGGTTCGAATTTTATAGGTAGACTTCACCTGCCCCCTTGGTATGTCAATGAGTGCCTGTCACAATACATGCTGGACATACATGTTCCAGCCAGTTATCAACAACAGCCATGAGTTAATAGTACTTAAAATCTGTTAGAAACCGAGTCAAAGATTCACAAACTATGGCCTTTTATTTCAGCGCCTTTGCTTACATTTGTACAATATATTACATAATTCTCCACTGGTTGCAGGTTCTAATATAGACTTTATAGCTTTTACTCTATAAGCTGCTTCAGCGTTTTGTTGTCAACAGATCTTTACAGTCCTGTACAAATCTGAGTAACTTGAAACCATTTCAACAAAATCAGTCACTGTAAGCACACACTACAAGACTGAAAACGCTTTTCTTAGAAAAGGTGAGTGTAAAGGCTTCTGACACGTTAGCATCTACAACAAAACGCTTTGAAATTCTCACATCGGATTGCCAAAAACAAAGAAAACATGCCAGCCCCATCCAAAAAAAGTACACAGAGCTACAATTCAAACGGCCAACAGTCTGTACAGTAAAGTCTGTGTATTAACAGTGCCAGGTATTAAACAGCTGGAATGAACACATCCGCAATATACAAATGTCTTACAAAGGTGTAGAATTAAATACAAGTGCCAACAGAACAGAGGTTGGAATCATACAACATAAAGTCAATACAAGTGAAAACATTTTACGTTCATTTGGGGTTTTATACAAAGCATTTATGTTTTCAGGCCAACCACCCAGATGAGCTATCTGTATTTAAAATAACCACTATCCTTCTGAGACAGCTCGTAGCGACAGCTTGCACCGCACTAAGACAGTTTACTTGTTCCTGAAGTCTCTCCTTGTAGCTCATAACAAAATAATCAATACAAATGAGTTATCTGCATTTAAGGGAAAAGAAACATTTACAAGAAAACACAAAAATATAACTGTTATAATTCTCATTATGAATAAATATACACTTTGAACTGGCTAAGTACAATCTTTATACACTGTTTAAGATTTAATACAGTTTACTAGCCATTTTCTTTTTCACACATGTATTTTATCAAAATTAAAAAAAAAAAATACTGATTCATAGAAAAATGGCAAAGTACAGTAGTTCCATTCCAATTTGAAGGGGCATGAAAAGCCACTACAACCGTTTAGCCTAATTCAAACCTGTAAACATGTCCAGTCTTTTTTAAAGAGAATCTAAAATATCTGGTTACCAGGACTGATGTCTGAGGTCCTGTTAACTGCAGGTTCTGAATTTATCACATGTGCTTGACTTATACAATTAAAGCCACCGGTGGTGACTCACTTTAAAAAACAATTAGCTTGTACAAATGAAAATAGGTTCATATTTTTTTCATAAATAAATGGAAAAATATCAAATGTTCCAGCTTTAACAAAATACAAGAGAATATATATACAATAAGTTACCTCCCGTGTTCTGGTCACCCCATAATGACATTGCTTCCTGCACTGTCCCCACGGGTAGGGACAGCTCCCGGCTCCCACCGTGGAAGACCTTCCAGTCACCAGACACACAAGTCCCAGACAAGTTGGAAACAATTATTGCTTGAGGAAAAGCAGTTCATTGTACTTTTTCTTCATAAAAAAGTGCACTTAAGTGCCAAGTCAGCTTGTCAAGAAACAATTTTAAATATAAAATAGTGCTTGTCTGATTAATTTTGTGCCACTGTGCAGTATAAAAAAAGACGTGGCCCTCAATAGCCATTAAGTGCAAAGTGCATTGGCAAGTCCTGCTGTCACCTGCACTCAACGGACATTCCATTCTGTGATGCACTGGACATTGAAGGCTCAGCTAATGTTAGCATAACAGCAGCTGTGATGGAACTGGACGACGGTGACGATGAGGATGAGGACGTAGCAGCACCTACAGAAAAGGTAAAGCAAACCAAAGTTTAATAAAAACCATGTCCAGCAGCAGAAAGAGGAAAAACACTGTACCTCCTGACTACAAGGTCACTCTATCCTCCAAAACTTTTTAACTTTATAATTCCACTTTGTTCTCTCTGTACCACAGTGCAAGTAAAGGAAAACTAGCTTATCTCAAATAGCTTGACAAACCAAATTATAGGAAAAGTCAGGAAAAATGACAGGAGGGAAGGGGATTGTGCCCAGAATAAGCAGAGAAAGAGTTCTATGTAGTTTGTAAGATAGTAATAAAAATATAGAATACACATATACACACACACACACAGAGATACACAGAGCAATATGACAAATGTAAAAAAACCTTCATAGATAGAAGTGGGAGGAAGGAATCTGTAATTCATGAAAATAATCTTTTTTTTTTTTTAATTTTTCTATCTTCCTCTAGTATTTAGGATATTTTATACATATTTAAGTGACAATAGAATGCTCACTGCTGCTTAAAGTTGAAATAAGTAACATCTTAATATTATCAGTTAATATGGGAGTGCTCAAAGGAATACACGTGCAAGATAAAAGGACTCATGGGACAGAGAATAGAACATGGAAAAGCAAGGCTCCTTCTCCTCTCCTTTCCCCACATTCACTGCCCCACTATTAAGACTTCAGTCTGCAAAAACCCCAATTTTTACGCAGACTCTCTGATCCCAAAAGGCTACCATTATTCTGTCCTCTTTTTTTTAAAAAAAAAATAATTATTACAATCTCTCTCTTCTAGAAGCCTGTCTAGACATATCTAGAACAATCTGAGAACTTTAAATATGCAGCTGTAACTCCACTTTGAAAATTTAAGTGAAAAAAAAAACCCAAACGTTTGGAATATCATATGTACTGTAGTAACTTTTTAATGTCTCCTTCACTTGGATCAAGGCAACCTGATCATTAAATTTAATAATTTCTATCTAGAAGCATAATATATAGTAGATCAAGTCACTAACTGCAAGGTCAGTAGTTCATATCACCAGCTACTTCTTGGGAAGAAGATGAGCTGTTGCCTCCTGTAAAGATCTGTAAGCTGAGAAACCAAGGGGAGGGTCATACTGAGTCAGAATCAACTCATAAGCAATGAGATATTCTGGTATGATAAGTAGTATTGTAACAGGCTTTTTAAGGTTACATGATTTTCTTTGAGAGATATTTTCAGAATTGAAATGAATGAGTTTTTCCAAGAGACAGTCAAGTTGTTTTCCAAGCTAACTGCCAATGCTCTCTGCCAATATACAGACAGGAGTGTCAATACTGTCCTCCGAGCATCAGTTCAACTCAGGAAGTGAGCCTACTAAAGAATGTAACCTTGCTCGATTTTTATTTCTTCAGTAGTCAGTATGAACACTATTTAATTACTTTTAACTGTATTCTCATTTATAAAATGACTTTGTATTTTCCCAAAAGGAAATGGTGAGGTTGAATAAAATCCACAGAAATAAAAACCATACTGTGAGCATCTGGGCACCAGGGCCCCTAGAGATTGAATGTCATGTCATCTAGCAGAAGGGGGACGAGGACAAGACTGAGAGTTGAGAGCCGGGCCCGGCTGGCCAGGGACCCAGACCCCATGGCAGGACTTGCTCACACATGCCTTCCAATGCCTACTCCCCAGTCATCTACCTAGCAGAATCATGTGCTGTGACCAGACCCAGAAAGCACCTTGAAGAAGCTATTTCTTGATAAATGTCCTGTTACACAGGAAACTATAGAAAAGGGCTCTGATAACTAAGGGCGAAGAGCCCCAGGAAAGCTTCTAAACACTGTACCCTCTCTAACTAGTTGACTGCTGTGGCGGGTGAAAGATAAACTTGGTCCTTCTAGATGTATGCTTGAAACTCCCAGCCAGGCACCTGGTGAGACTGTGCCCATGAAGCTTGTGGTCTCCCCAGGGGACAGGAGGGCTGATACTGTGGACAAGGTGTACAACACGCTCATGAGAGTGACCGAGTGACTATTGACAGGGTGGAGGACATGCTTGCAGGAGTGGCCATAAACAGGGTAGACAGCATGCTCACAGGAGGGTAGTGGACAAGGAGGACAGGAGTGACTGTGGGCCAAGTGGACAGTGCACTCGTGGGAGTACACTCATGGGAGTGAACATGGGTGGGGGGGACGGCACACTTGTGGGAGTGACCGTGGACAGGGTGGACACCACACTCATGGAAGTGACCATGAGCAGGTGGATGGAGCTATCGTGGGAGAGACCATGGACAGGGTGGACTGCAGAGGGGCCAAGGGCCAGAGGGTCCTATCTGCTGAGAGCTAACAGGCTAGCCTGGCCAGAGAAAGGTGACTGGGCATTCCCAAACTCTCTGACAACCCTGTAGCTGTGACAAGGGTCCCCGTCTTATTGCATGGTCAAGTGGCTACAAAGAACTCTTGAAGCTAGCAGAAAAGCAGAGCACGTCAGGGAGGGACAGCTGGTGTCAGAAATGATCTGAGAGAAGGGAGCACACCTGATCTCCATTCACTTCAGAAGAATCAGTTTGGGAGTCTCCCCTGTGTGAAGTCAGAGGCTATTTTCAATGATTTATGAATGATTACATGATGAACCACACAGAACTCAGGTCCCTTTGCTCTGTAGCATGTTTCCATATATGCATTAATATTTATATTACTTTCAGCTACTCATAAACCAGACAGACGCTTCTCACTCTACCAAGTGAAATAATGAAGGATGAAGGTAAGGGGAGGGCCAGTGAAGGAAAAAGAAAGGAGGAGGACCGGGCCTGAGGGGAGAAAAATGGAAGTGCTTCAGGAGGTTTTAAGAAAGGGAAGGGTGGGAAATGGAGAGCGTTAGGGCAAATGTTTTAAGCTTTAAATATGCTACCCTGTCTTCCCCTCTCCTCTTTTCTGTTCCCCCTTATAGCAAAGACAGCAGGTTTGTCAGAGTTCCACCCTCCACTCCTCAGCTCCCACTCCCCAGCCAAGTCCAGTCCAGTTTTGAGTTTAGCGCACTGCTGTCAAGGCAGAACTGACTGGTAGATGACCTACTGCTGGGTTTTGAAGGAGGCTGCCCATCTTTCCCCTAGGTAGTTGTGGGCCAGACAGGCCTCTGGGTCACAGGGTAACTTCCGACCCGTAAGGTTACCAGAGCTCACTGTATCTGCATGAACTGCTCACTGACAGTGCTTCTGAAAAGATCACCATGACGCCAATGTTGACATGATAGGGGACTTCTGATGAAACCTTTCTGCAGTGTTTGGCCCATGGACTACTTCCCTTCAATTCTTTCCGCAGCCACTCTCTGCTGGTTCTCCTCTTAGTTCCAGGCTACTCCTCCGTACGTCTTCTGTTCCTCAACTCTGCTCTAAATGCTGGTCTACTCCACCTTTCTTGTCCCTTTCTAGCCACAGTTCTTTCCTAGATGATCTACCCTAAAGTTGGGGCTTTAAACACATCACCATAGACTTGCAAGCGATCTTCCATCCTGACTTCTCTTCTGGGCTACGAACACACACACCTACTATCTACTTGAAATTGCCATTGGAACGTCTCAACAGGTATCTCAACATGTAAGATAATAAAACACAACTTTGGATCCTAACCACATTGCCCTACTCATCGCCTATTCATCTTTGGGCCTTTCTCAATTTCTGAAAACTGTAGCATGTACTCAGCTGTTCCAGTCCAAAACTTATAAATCATCCTCAATTCATACAAGACATCGCAACCACAGTCAGAGTTATTAACCGCCTCCTGTCTTTTCTGCACCTTTTCTGGTGAAGGTCACCTCTTCCCAATCTGAACTGTGCCCCTCACCAGCCTCACTGCTGGTCTATTTCCCAAGGTACACAGTGATCATTTAAAGAGTGTGCCACTACCCTGTTTAAAACTTGTTAGATCTAAATTCCAGGTCCTGGCCTATAAGGCCCCAGAAAAATTGGTCTTCATGTACTTGAATGATAATTTACCATGATCTTATTTCATTATTTAAATTATCTCATTAGGGTTTGCTCTGTAGCTAGTAAGCTCTATGAATGTGAATACTGAGGTGTAGTGGTTGTTGCTCTCTATCTTTGAGTCAGAACCAACCCATAGCTGAACCTCCAGTGGGTTTTCAGAGACTATAAATTGCACAAGAGGAGAGTGCCCACGTTTACCTCTTGGAGCAGCTGGTGGATTCAAACTGCCCGTTTTGGTGTTGGAAATGCAACGCCTTTAACAGTGAGCCACCAGAGCTCCCTGGCTAGTTCTGTAGCCAGATTTTGCACTAACCAATAAAGAACATTTATTGACTGATTATTATGTGTAGGGGAACTATAAGCATTATCTCTCTTCTAGCAATAAACTCAACATATGTATTACTCTTTTCATTTAAGAGAGGAGGAAAATAAGCAGAGGGATTGCAGAACATGCCGGAAGACAGGGACAAACTCCAATGCTAATTCAACTGCAGCATTAACCAGACTCTGGCTGACGTGTTCGTACGTCTAGTCATGGAAAAACACTTACTTTCTCTCTCTTTCTTCTTTAAGCGCTTTCTTCTCCGATCGATGGAAGCAACCTCAGATTTTAATGACAGATAATGTTTTCTAATTTCCTGTAGTTTTTCTTGAAGAATTGTGATGCGTTCAGCACTTGTCATATTTTCCAGATCCGCTAGGAATGAAAAGGTTTCAATATTTATTCCTGAACAAAATTTAATATAGAAAAGAGAAAAGACACAGTGCGATTCTATATACACTAAAGGAACACTGACCAAAATATCAAGGCTTTTAAATAGTTTTTTTTTTAAATATTTTTTCTAGCCTAAAACAATGGTTGGTAAATAATATGTGCACAGCATAACTGGAACAGCACATTAACAGAGAACTGCCTGAAGGGCAGGCTAGGTTTAGAAGAGGCCATAGTACTAGGGATATTATAGCAAATGTCAGGTGGATCTTGGCTGAAAGCAAGGCAGTAGCAGAAGAATGTCTATCTTTGTTTCCTTGAGACATTTGACTGTGTGGATCACAACAAACTGTGGCAGACTCTGAGAAGAATGGAAATCCCAGAACACTTGATCATGCTCATGTGACAGCTATACTTGGACCAGGAGGCAATAGTCAGAACAGAGCAAGGAGACACTGCGTGGTTCAAAACCGGGAAGGGTGTAAGCCAGGGATGTGTCCTATCTCCATACCTCTTCAATCTATATTGTGGAATAGATTATCCAGGAGGCTGGGCTCTATGAGGAGAAATGTGGCATCAGGATTAGAGGTATACTCATCAACAATCTGTGTTATGTACATTACAAAACCATGTTTGCTAAAACTGAGAAAAGACGTGAAGCGCTTGCTGCAGTAGGTCAAGGACTCCAAACTTCAATATGGACTGAAGCTCAACATCAAGAAAATACTCACCACTTGGCCAATTAGCAGCATCATGATAGATGGTGAAAAGATTGAGACTGTTAACAACTTTAGTTTGCTTGGCTCTATAATCAACACTCTTGGTACCAGCAGCCAGGACATAAAAAGATGAATTGCATTGGCAAAGTCTGCTGTTAGAGACCTCTCCAAAGTACTAAAGAAAAATAATGTCAGTGTGGAGACTAAGGTGTGTCTGATCCAGGCCATGGTCTCTGCAATTACTTGCTATGCATCAGAAAGCTGGAAGAGTACTGAATATATCATGAACTGCTGGGAGAACAGAGAGGTTCATCCTAGAGAGGGTGAGACCAGCCTGCCCCTTGGAGGCCAGGATTGTGAAGCTTCTTCTGACATACTTTGGCCATGTTGCAGGCAACATGAAGAGGGGTGTCATGCTTGGAAGGGTGGGGGCACAGCACAAGAGAGGACCATGAGATGGATTGACTCAGAGACTGGGGTAATGTGTCAGAGACAGTAAGATTAGCACAGGATACAGCAGGGTTTACAGCTGCTCTACAGTGTCGCTATGAGTCACAGACGACTTGATGGCACATTAACAACAATTTTTTAAATCGGTTTTAATTACTCATTTCTATTTTGTTATGCTGTGCACAGTATTTGCTGAATGACAGAATTCATGAATATGTGCAAAATTTAAGACCTTATGACCTCAACACTGTGTAGTGAAAATTCCCATCCATTAAAAAACTCCTATATTATATCAGTAAGACTGAAAAAAATAGTAAATTTTCAAGTATTTTTACTAAAGTGTTAAGTAATTTTTCCTTCGACCGTAGAGGAGAACACATAAAATTAATCTGTTTTTGTAGATTTTGGTACTACTATAGGGTTTACCTCAAACCCTTTTAAAGAACTTTTATGCAAAGCTGCCATCAGAATTCACCACATTGTAAGATCGGAAATTAAGGTGGCCCTAAATACCTGATTCCAGAGAGAAAAGGACTGCTTTGAAGGAAAGGGCTGCCTTGGTAACATCCACCAAATGGCCATTTTAAATAAAAATAATTAAGGAAAGCAAGCTTTAAATCACAGTGTGGGGACACACTGCCCATTGACAAAACAAAACAGGAGAGCAAAGCTTTCATTTTCATTTTAGCACATCTTTCAGCTTGACCCTATTCAATCATTTTATTGTTGACCACTAAATTGGTATTAAAATTTTTTTAAATTACGGAGATCCAAGATGGTGGCGGAGGCAGAGACAGCGTGGTGAGCTGCGGGAGCAGCGAACCACTTAAAGCAGGGCCATTATGGCCTTCCACAGACTT